AATATACCAGATAGAGCAAGTTCAGTGGCAAGTTTTAAATTGGATTAATTTATAGCTTCTGACGCTTTTGCGAGTACAAGAGAGAAAAAAACCCAACAACATCAAGAAAAATCTCTGGGCTTCGATATGAGTTTAATTAAATAGTTTTTCTGATGCCATTTCAAAAAACGACAATATAATTACGAGCGAAGAGAAAAAAATCATTTTTATACAAGAAAATTAAATTTTCATCAAAGAGAAAAAAAGAACGCAGCAACAGTGTTTCTTAACTCACTTTCATCATGGACGATGCTTGGGGATTTGCTAACATCATTCTATTGAAACAAAATAAACCACTTAATAGCATTACAAAGAAATGGTTAGAACTTTTTTTTTCATCCCACTTGGAACAAGTTTTCCGACAAGTCGACAAAACACCATTTCAAAAGTTAATTTCAAGTGAAATCAACACAAGAGAAGAAATAATTACAGTAGAAAACACTAAACTTGACCGAAAATGTAATATTGTGATTTTGATTAGAACACAAACCGTATTCAGAACCAATATTTCGAACTATGTTGGTTATTGGCACAGTTTTGAATGAAATTGTTTAAAACGTAAAGTTGCGTGGTTGAAATCACAAGTTTTACACAGGATTTCGAAGTCACTTACATTTGGAGTTGATTCGTTTGTAAGGGAGATTTAACTCTGTAACGTCTCTCATGTAGAGTGTGGACCGCATATTGTCATACATTATGCATCGAATGAGAAAAATTATTGAGTTCCCGCTGCTAGTTTTGAATTAACTGATAATTTTGCATTGAGTTCACAATAAACGAGATACACACAACTTGCGTCGATGTACATTGAAAACAAACATTCAAGAGCTTAACATAAATTTAAATCATTCATTATCAAGTGATCAAATTGAGTCATGGGCACAATCAACGGATCGCAAGCGCAATATTTCATCCGAGCATCTATGCCCAATAAGATTGATTGCTCAACACTTTAGCATCGAACTCAGGCCACTCAAAAAAACTTCTGTTCATTCTCATTTGAAGAAAGTAATTTAATTGAATTCATTGTTTGAGACTTTCGGCGCTTCTAATGAAATTTATCGAGCATTTTGGGATATTATCTGGCGAAATGAGCATTGTTGTCGACAACAGGTGAACACATTTGGCCAGAATGGCTTGGTAAATGGCAGTCAATTGAGAGACACAACCAAATCAAGTGGCTTGTGGTAACACGAAAAGCCTTCAACCACCCGACCGAAATTATTCATGAAACAAATGAACAAATGACGACGATTCAGTGCTTGCCGAACGAATGTTCAACGCCATTATAGTCGATGATTGTTCTCGGGGAGATACACGCAGAGAGAGAGAGAGAGAGAGAGAGAGAGAGAGAGAGAGAGAGAGAGGGCATACGGGGCAAAGAAAACAATGCTCAAAGTCCTTCTTCTGAATGAATTATTCATTCATTGTGGTAAACTCGATTCCACTAATGATAAGTGTTATCGAAATTTCCAATGGAGTCTATCAATTTTGCCAACAATGAGCATCGATTCACATCCATCACACAAAAAGGGGTTTTTCCAAAGAAGACGATAAGCGAAGAAGACGCGGGCCGAGCGCACATTTTCTTTTGAAATGGTTACCATCGAGTCATGTTACATAATTTCATTATGAGAAGCTTTTTTTCCAACAAACAACATTTTTTGTTTCGTCTGAAAACATGAATTTTCAAGACGATACGTCGATGTTAGTTTTAATTCAGCCCGATTCATTTGAAGCAAAGCGAAAGAAACGCTCTTTCGAAGGTCGAAGTAAAATACGAATTGAATTCGGCACAAGGGAAACATGAATGCCGATGGCAATTGATTATGGTGTCATAAGGAATTGAAATAAAAATATCGATTTCGATTTTGCCACGAAAAAAATAGGGAAATGAGAGGAAAAATATATTGGCACAATTTCTCTATCGCGAGAAAACATCGACGTTCAAAAGAATCTTGTTGATCAATTCCACTGCCGGACATCCGGTTGAACCCTAGGTTATAGCACATCATTTTTTCTCCATTTTCTATTCGTATCGTAAAGAACGAGGAGAACGGTTGCATTCTTGACAACTTTGACATTTTGATGTACACACACATATAAAAACGTATGGCGGATTGGAAAACGTCAGCAATGAACTAAACTATCACTTGGTGTAGCAAGTTCATTGAATGTGTGAACGGGTGGCAATATTCGATGACTTCAAAATCATATGAAAAACCACACAAGTGTTGACAGTGCAAATATAAAATGTATGGCGTTTCCAATCTCACCACTGTTCACCACAAGCAGTCAAAGCATTAATGTGAATGATGCATGACAACGTGACTTTGACAGCACACGCATATGAATTGTTGTCATGTTTACAGTCGGAAACGTCAATGCAAAATCTCCAGTATCCAGTTTCACTCTACTTTGGAATTTCAATTTGATTGCGTAGAAATGTGAGTGAATTGAGAAATGTGAAAGGCAACATGGTTTGAATGGTATTTTTTATTTTCCGGAAGGAGCGAGTCCCCAGAATTTTATAAATTAAATATTCAATTACGATTTCACTCGAGGCTAGTTTATGACGTATGAAATACGTGTTGAAGCGCAAATTTCCAATAAAATGCGCCATTTTTTCTATTTGCACTCAGAGGCAATGACGATAAGAAAGGAAAAACTTCCGCGTGAAATATTCATCAGGATTTTCAATTCGAAATAACGGGGGAAAAAAGGTAGAACGAAGAGAAAAAGGTGTGTGTGTGTTCGTATTAAAAAGTTTTTGATTTAATGTCTTTTCTGTTGTGACTTTCGATTTATATCCCGGATCTCTCTCCGGTTAGAAAGTTTGTGTGCACAGTGCACACTCTTTTCGTTGAATTTTATCACGAACAAATTCGCAGTGAGATATTTGTTGGCTTTGATGCGCCGTCCGTATACACCGTTGAAAAATTCATCTTATTTCGTCCGTTGTTTCAATTCAATGAAAAAGAAGAAGAGAAAAATGGACGCTTTTCAGACAATTTGCGCTGGTATTTTATTAGCATGTCTTTATTGCATATTTAAATAGATTTACAAAGCACAAACGATCGGCCATTGACCGTAAGATTTCAAACGAAGTGTTATTTCTTCGACGGTTGTGCGCCGGAACGTCAATAACAATAAAAAGTTTCGATTCATCATTTTCATAAAACATGAATTATATAGAAGAAGATGAAGACGGAGACGACGAAAAAGAGCACAAATAAAAAAGTGCTCGAAGAAATGAGAGAAGCAGAGAAAATTGTTGTGTGAAAAGTTGAAGCTGCGTTGGGGGATCTGCTGCTCATCTTCATTGTCATTAAAGTAAAATGCTCGATAACTTCCGCTGCCAAGAAAAGCGAGAGCAATAACAGAAATGCCGAAAGACTTTCACTTGACACGGCCCGAACTTTCGAAAATTGATTTGAATGCCAATAAAACAAAAACAATTGAAAGAGTTTCGGAATTGAGCGCCAAAATATGCCAGCATAAAAATTTCCAGATGAAAATAGTGATGAAGATACAAAACTTTGACTCGTTTTTATGGCAAAAATCAAAAACCTTCAACGCCAACAATAAAGAAAAAACTGAACCAACGAAAACATATCGAGTCACTTTTCAAAATAAATAAAACATGATGATGATGATACATAAATCTCCCATCGAAACCCGTATTTTTTCTCTCGTCAGCACAATCGATTTCGGTGAAGAGATATTGTGAAATGTCACAAATAAATTTTCCATATAAAGTTTTTGACATTATCTCAAGTTGGTTGAGCAGTCATATAAAACCGCAAATTATTCGATTTTCTTCTTCAAATCAACACACGCAAACATATTTCGAGAGTCAATGTGTGTGTGGGAGCTGAAGTTAAACTCTTCGGGCGACGAATGCATTGAAAACAGAACCACGACACTTCATAGCAGATATGAGCAGGATGATGAAACTTGTACACAAATACCACCCGATTGAAAACTTTCCAAATCCTTTAAATGTATGGATTTTTGATGGATTTTACTGTTGCTCAAACGAAAAGCCATATTTTATGTTAATTGAATATGTAAGCGCCTTACTATTAGCCTAGTTTCAATCCATCAAAATGCCCGCAATCATTTTCTTCTACGAATTAATACTACGAGATTTAAAGTGACACACAAGTTTTCACATTTTATGTTCAAGACACATTTATTTATGGGGTTGAGAAAGAAAACATCACGAGCATCAATTAAATTATGTGTGGCCCACACAGTGTGGGAATGTTTTGATTGCGGGCTCATAACTAAATTTCCAGTGAATAAATTTCGTCCCATTAACTTGTTGGCGTGTGAATTGTGTGGTCAACAGTTCAAAGTCATTCATCGCCGTGGAACGTCTAATTTTTCAATAGTGACTTGTAATTTTCATTCTTTTCTTCTCTCGTAATCCAATTGTTTTTAATTATTTAATGTTTAACCGCCAACCTGTTCATACTGCGATACGCTCTCCAGTTGTACGATTTACTCGGTCGCAAATCAGTGCGAATCAAGCGATAGAAATGTGGCAACAACGCCATTTGAATAGCAAATGGGGAAAACGTAACACTGAAACGTTTCTTCTGAATGACATGGATGTGCCAAGAGCAAAGCTTTTTGTGACATTTTCACATTTCCCCAGTTTTCTCAACAAGACAATTCACAACGGTACCGTGCTTGATTCGATTCGAAACAACTCGAGCCGATCGTAAGCATTCGTCACTCCGCTCGTTCGGCTCGTATTCGGAAGTGCATCTCACGCTCAGCGACCGATGTAGTTTCCCCTCCATTTTCGAAAATACGTGCCAGCCAACCGAATGCAATAGAGCAAAAACAACGAGCGGTCGTCAACACACTGGGATACGCGGTATTTCGATAAAAATCAAAAATTGTTGCAACCGCATAAAGGATAACGATGGAAAACATTCACATTCAGTCTGTGTACACATTTTGTAGTGAACGGATAACGACCGTACGACGCAGAGCGTTTACATATTACGTTGAGATTCGTATTTTCCCGTTCGTGTGCTCTATGTGTCTGTTTTTTAATCTATGCAGTGAGCGCATATTTGAAATTCAAACCGCGTGATATACAAACGATTGAGCATTGGGAAAAAAGCAGAAGAAAAAGAAGAAGAGCGTTTGGAGATAATCGTTTTAAAGTATTTAGTGCATAGAGTGAATAGAAACAAATTTGGGCAAAATTACACCCCATTACAGCGGTTGAATGTAAATTGACTTTTATAACAAAAGTAAATATTTTGAGAAAATATAAAAAAAACGAGATTGAACGAAATAAAAGCAATGCTATGCCATCGAAATTGCCAGAAGGGATAATGAACGTGAGGTTGAGCCGAAAAAAAATATTGAATGTGTGTGTGAACAAACGCAGTGTTTTTGTTTCGTTGCCTCTGTAAAACGACAAAACAAGAGGGTTTCATTAATTGTCGAAAAAAGCGAGCCGTTTCGTAATGAAGTTCGGAATTATCCTTTTAAATTGTGCGTTAAAAATCGTGGTGTAATTTAGTGTGTTCACACTTTTTAGACGAGCACGTTTTGGCTGGAGCACGTACAAACTGTTTGTAGTGCAAAAAAAAGGGAATGACAATCACATCAGACTCGGAATATTCGGTGTGTGGACTGTCGCATTTAGTTTAGTTGGTGATTCGTCCCGATGCCAAAAGTCGACCAAGTGAATTGTGATTATATTGAATATTAACTTTTATTTTCATTCAACCAAATGACTGTGCTCGTGTTAAACCGCGTAATGTGATATCGTAAAGTGAGCAAATGCGTATAAACGAATCGAAGAGCAATTGATAAAATTCAATGATAGGAAAATTGCTCAGTCAGCCGAACCAACAGAGAAAAAATAACAGCAAGGGAACGAGGAAAATCGGCGATAGAAAGAAGAACAAACGGTTTTTTTTATAACAAAAACGAACCCTCCACTACTTCATTGACATATAGAGAGTTGGCTGTAGCTAATGAGATTGAACTGTGTTAAGCGTGGCATTAATTTGCGCGTTCAATCGCCTAATTCGGCCATTGATTTTCTCAAGCGGGCAATGTGTGTTTTGATAAAAATAAATATCGGAATAAGATTTTCGAGTTTTTACTGAATGAACGGTACGACCCCTTATCTATTTCGGGTGTGGAATTAGTTGAGTTGAGAAAGTCATTTTGGAAACAAAGCACGACATTGTTGGAATATTGAATTTCGGTATGAAACGAATGGTAAAATCGACGAAAACGGAAAAAAATACGGAAAAAAGTGGAAACCCACGGCATCTAAAATGAGAGCCTAGAGTGAAAGATTTTCGTTTCTTCTACTTTTGGTGTTTCGGAAGTGTTTTTTACATAATTTTCCGTTTTTATATATATTTTTTGTTCCTTCTTGTATTTTGTTTTTCGTAATAACTGAAATACATTTGATATTGTCGTTTGAATAAGTGAACCGAGGCCCGACGAAAGTGAATCGCATAGAAAGAGAGATAGAGAGAGAGAGAGAGAGAGAGAGAGTGCGAAGCAAACAAGTGTGACAAGCGCCTGTTTCCATATTATTTTATCGGTGGATGGGCAAGAATGGGACGCCTGCTGCTTCGTCAGCTAATCCAAAACACCAAAAATAGCACAACGAGTGAAAATACATAATTTTTAATATTGAATAAATCTGCCGACATTGCGATGGGGGAAGCAAAACAAAACGAAACTGTGCTCGTTCGCGTTTACGAATGAAGAACCAGATCCGAGCGAACAAAAAAATTACGTCACTTTTTTGTGCTCTCGTTCGACATTAACAAGGTCCATAACAAGGCGGAAAATAGACGAACAAAAGCAAATTATTTAAATCAAACAACAAAAAACTGTGTGTGTGTGTGTGTGTGTGGGTGTGTGTGGGTGTGTTTGGGTGTGTGTGTGTGTGTGTGTGTGTGTGTATTGTTGTGTACGGCGACGGCAAGTGCTGCAAACGTGTATTAGAAGAAGAACAACATGAGCACAATAAAACGGCTGTGAGCCAAAACGAAATCATGTTCGCCGAGTCAAGGATCAGAAAAAATTCCGTGTTGATAAAGTGTGAACGAAAAAACCATTGTTTGCGTGCGTATAATATTCTATTGTCCGAAAGAAAAACAGAATGCCACCGCTACAAGACGACGACCAACCGACCGACGAACCAACGTCAACAGCAACAAAAAAAGAACACGCATACCCAATTTCAAGGGAGATTGATGAAAAAATTGACTGAGAAAAATTAAACGAAGCATTTATGCCCGTAGGGTCATCACACTGCTGCACATTCATTCAGTGATTCAATACATATTGTTTTTGGCATCACGCTCGCGTTGACGCTTCTCAACACAGACAAGTGAAAAGTGCGACAGTTGAAAAGAAACAAAAATCAAAACATAAAATAAACGGACATTTGATGGCAACAGAACAGTGAACAGTGACATTTTGTGAACAATTTTCATTTGTGTTGCGTCCGACAGAGAAGCCATTGCAGCAGAAAAAGAAAATTGGAAAATAAATTAAAAGCATGTCGTAGAAGTTTTGTTGGGCACTGGAGATCAGACAGAAAATTGAATGGAATTCGTCGAATTCGACAGTGTCCGTTGCAGCCGTAAATAGATTCTCATCCCCTCAGTGTAAGCCAGAAAGTCGCGTCAAGGGAGATTTTCGGCTAACAAACACTCCTCAGTAAACGTTCGATTATCATTATCGGGATTTCGAATTACCGTCGAACCAACAAGAACAACAACAGGAAAAAAAACGAGGAACAAATACAAACAAAATATCGGAAGAAAAAAAATAGAAGAAAACAATACGAAAGTATAAATAATCCGACATAAAGCCGTGGCCTTGATAAGTTGTTTATGAGCATCGAAAAGTTTCGTGGGTGGGTGTGATGAGAAGAAAAAACTATTTTGCCAACTTGAAATTTGTGTGTGGACGAAGCGAAGCGAACGGCTGATCACGCACATGCATAAAAACCAGTGACGACCGTGTATAGCTCCCACCCCCATAAAAACGCTCGTGGAATGAAGCTATTTCAAAGGTGGATTTATGTCTCTGATAACTGTTTGCACCAACTGCCAAGTTTATTTTTATTGTAGTGCGTGTCCGGGTGCAAAATAAAGAGAAAAAAATAAAACTTTTCTCATGTTTGTGAATGACGAAAAAACGGAAGGAAAAAAAAGTCGCACACCTGAAAAGTGTTTCGGATATCGTGGCAACAAAAACTAAAAGCAGATCTAGTGCAACAGATATCGATTATCATCGAAAATAAACACCGAAAAAACACTGTGAATCAAGTAAATCACATACAGAACATTGAGTCAAGGAGAGCATAGCGCCAAAACGAAAAAGAAAACCAGGGGCAGCAGGCCAAAGAAGAAGGAGAAGAAAACTTACGGAAATCTTGATTATGTGCGTCCATGTTTGAACCAATTGAATCGAATGAAATGGGATTCAAGAGGAAAAAGAGTGAATTTCGATAGTTGAACGATAGGAAAAAGTTTTTCGTTGTGCCATTTTACGAAACACATTACGAAAGACTACGGCGACGACGACGACAAAGAGGACGACAAGTGTCGCTTTCGTCTTCATATGCGACGACGACATGTGCAAATGTGTTTTTGCTCTTGTTCTTTTTTTCTTCGGCAAAGCATTCGCCAAAGCACTTTAAATATTTACACAATTTTGTGTCGCACACCAGCCGTGGAGAGAGACTCTTCGTGTGAGCAGAATCGAATGTGTTTGTGTAATGTGAAACTGGTATTAAAGAGAGACTGAATCAGCCAGAGCAAAGTACACAAAAGCAAATAGACTGCAATTTAAAATAAAAATACTTACAAATCAATGTAAAAAAGCGAGCACGTATTCGTTGCGATGTTCCGTCTTCAATTTAAAAGATACACACACTTCGCATCGGGCACAGGAGAAGAAAAACAACCACTCGCTTGAATGAAGAAAACAAAATAAAAAGAAGAAAAAACAGTGTACGACGACGACTACGTAAACAATGTTAGCGCAATTCGGTGCTGAGAAACGACGGCAAGATCCAGCTGAATGCGATGCAATGACATCGTTCAATGGTAAAAACTAAAGAATTGAAAATTCAATGTGCTTTCTACGTGTCTAGTTCAATGTATGCTGGATTTTAAAGAATTGCTCAGATTCAATAGCAGCAGCAGCAGCAATTCAATGGCTGTTGGTATCGATGTTATGTGCGCAAATGTTTGTTTGTAATGAAATGAATGTGTTTATCAATGTAATTCAGGCACGCACGCACTAGATACTCCCCGGTAATCAACGAAAGCAATATGAAAGAGCTCTAATATCGTCAAACAGCACAAGCGATATGACACGGCAACCGAATTGTCAAAACCAGAATTGAATCAAGTGCTGCTGGTGTTTTAAAGAGAAGAAATAATATTAAATAGACGTTGAAAGATAGCGCACGCGAAACAGAAAGCGACGACGAGCGAACAAAAAAAGCGCACAGAAAAGATTATTTTCCTTTTGAAGCGAGCAGAGATTTCCTGCAAACGATATTAGTCGGGCAAAGGCTTACCATCGACGGGAGACAGGTAGCAAGAAAATTATCACTCTATTCACCGTTATCTCATTTATGCTTCTGTTACACGCACCAAAACAGTGCATTAAAGAAGACAAGCTTAAGATAAGATGAACCAAGTAGTAGAGAGAAAAAAACAGACAGTAGGAAGTATCCTGTAAAGTGAAATAACGAGAAACGGAAACAAAAAACCGCCTGACCCAGTGCAATGAAAATAACATGTTGAGCGAATGAAAAGAGAAATTAAACAAAAACAACACGAGGAAAAAAGTTGAAAGAAAATAGAAAACAAGCCGTGACAAACTACGTTTGCAAGACGCCACAAAAGCATCCAATTGATAACAAAAGAAGAATAAGAAGTGGGAGGAGAAGAAGAAGAGAGAAAAAAAGAGTGGAAAATAAAATAAAAGGTGAATGTGAAATAAATTGGATCTTTGTTTACACTAAACCAAGCGATTCGTCTTACTATCAACACCGTATGAATCCAAATGAAAAGCGAAAAAACATACCAAAATGAAATGGGCAAAAGCTGAAACGGAAATAACTTGGAAGATACGGTTGGCTTTAAAAAGAGCCATCCAACTTTTTTGGTGACTTACACCCGATCCTTCGTCTCAGTCTTTGTCGCCACAGCAGCAGCAACAACAACAGTAGCATCATGTGCCAATGGTAAGTACACACTTCACCAGATTTAATAAATTCATTCGAGTGGACTCCTTTTTTCCCACACCTCACCATTGAATTATTGACATTTCCATTCAATGGAAAACAGAGGCACGGAGAAAAAAAAACTTTCAACATTTCCCAGAACCAAAACAAATACTATTTATACAATACCTTCGACTGCTGTATTTCTTTCTGCGAAATGTTTTCTTCGTTTTTGTTTTTTGTTTTTCATTTGGATTGATTTATGTTTCGATTTAATATATTCAGGCGATTCGTCATGGATCCATTTGAAATGCGATCCCTTCAGCCATCTGCAGAAACATTACTTAATTAAATGTAAATTTACCGGAAATCGAAGCGAACCCTAGGTATTGTATTTTTCCGTCGATTTTGTTCAAACATTTGCCAGATTCTTCTTTTTCGTTTGTGTCATCACTATCGAATTCGCTTTTTTTATTGTTAAAATTTGAAATTTATAAACTTTCACGCATAAATGGATACCGCAGAGATAAAAGCCAAAAAGTTGTTTCGTGTCTCTTTAACGTTCCGAAAAAACACATACAGGGACTCCCTGTCAGGGAGAGAAAAAACACAATAAAGTTTGGCGAAATAGCTGACTGAGCGTCATGGAAACGTGTTTCCTAAATATTTGATTTCGAGTGAGCTAAAGTCGGTGATTTTGCGTTTATTTGATAACAAACTCACAATTCAACATTGATAAATGATTCGGTTTTACGCTATGTCATAAATTTACCGTCGTCGTCGTTTAAAATCCAGGTGTAATGCAATTTCGATGGGATTGAAATAGGGCAATAAAAGAAATCACGTTTCGTGGAAATCTCAAATTTAGAATATACTTAACGGTGACATTTTGCTCTGGCAACAGTTGATATAATTTTCTTTCCGTTTCGGTTGACACGTTTAGAAGGTACGATGAAGTTAGCGAGAGTAAATCCAAACGAATTTTCTTGATGATTTCATCTTTTTCATTGTTTTCTAGCGACTAGAAGGATATTCATCGAAAGGTCATCCTTTATAAGCATATAAGCTATTCGTACAAGAAACCCACACTGGAGAAAGTGAATATGCGGACCAAACGGAGCCCAAACACGAGTTTTGGAAAGTTTTTCTTGTTATTTTCGGTTTCACTCCACACCTTTCACTTCAGTTATTTGCCACATGCTTTTCATTGGTGGAGATGGCCGATGGCGGATGCCTCGTGTTTGTATTACATATGTCCAACATTACACGAGTACAGGCGGAAACGGAAACTTTTGATTAGTTATTGATTTTCATTCACTTTGCCAATTAACCCGTAAGCCCAACGTCGAAAATTGTTTTGCCATCACTTGTTTCTCTTTTTGTGTGTGCGTATGCGTGTGCGTGTATGTTGCTCTCATGCCAGCGAAGTGAAGAGAAAGCAAAGTGTGCGTTTGAGTGAAGGATGTGTATTGTTCATGAAGAATCATCCGATTTGTTAGATTACCTCGAAAGAAATGCATGACATTGTTCGTACAATCAACCTCTTTTTATCTCGGGTCTCTCATCACCGTCACAATCACGTACCCATGATCTTTTTGCTATATCTCATGCATATGCCAAACTCATGTAAATATATATGTGACATCGTCAACCAAACAAAACCGCTTCGTTCAACTTCGTTTCGCTTCGTATTTTTTCACTACACTTTTTCAAATTCGATAAATCGCCAATGTCGGAATTGCAAACAAACCCAAAATAAAAGTACGCTGAAATCAATTTTCCAGTACAAGAAACACGTCTTTGATTGAAGCCGCTTTACCATTTGAACTAGCGAGCGAGAGAAAATTCCAAATATGAGCAAGCGAACGAATTTTTTGCTTCTCCTCTTTTGATCGGATGTGTTTGAATGCTCGGATCTTGATTCAATTGAGTTTATTAATGAAATTTTCAATAGTTTGCCATCGTTTAAGCATTTGTGTCTGCGCCTCAAGATTCTTTTTTATGGCAAAGGTTTAGCGATGAAAAGAAAATCAAGTCTCTTCGCAAGAAAAACGGTTGACATCCTTCGGATCTATGTTTGTCTTTGCTTTTTCACTTGTCCGGTTTCGGTAGTCGTGTGTGAAATTCATGTTACTTCCGGTTTTCGTGGTGATTTCGCTCCGAGCGCCACCGCATACGGCTCCAACGGATACAGATGCTCTCGACATGAAACGAATAAAGGGCAGACTCGATTTTCTTCCATCTAAAATCGATAAGATACATTGTTTGTCGGAGACGATTGGTCCCCTTTTTGAAGATAAAAAGAAAAGCATACGAAAGATTTATCAGTTAAAAAGGAAACACAATTTTTCACAGTAGAGAATAAGATCTGAATTTGCCTTGATCGAATTAATTTTTTTCTTCTTTCGCCCATCGCTTTTATCTTCAATCTTTTGTCCATTTCGATTATTCAATAAAAAAAACATAAATGAATTTTATGAACGAACGTTGTGCACAGATGAATTTCGTCTACAATTTTTACAGTTTAAGATTCAGATCAAAGTCTCGGCATTACGTTTTTCACGAATGGAGAATACAAATGCTCACATTCATTTAGTTGCATGGTATTCAATGACTGGAACAGTTCTATCTCTTGGAAAAGAAAAGTAAAAAGAGATTTCTAGGAATTTTACCTGAAAAGCGTTTAAAACGTTGTTCAATTACAGTTTGAAACGTAGTGATTTATGTAATTCAATCCATGTCACTTAGTGTTCAGACTACATCACTGTACCTCCATTTAAGTGTATGTTGAAAAAAGTTTGATATACTTTTCAATATTTTCGAAAACTTTTGATGAAATAATTGAATGAAATCCGGCATGGCGCATGGTAATTAATTGGTTATCGTTTTTTCCCCATAGAACTAAATATTCCACTTTTCGGATAATTAAGGGCTTCTGGTAAGATTTTTATGACCACTTACTAAGTTATCATTTGTTTAGTGCTTGAAACAGTCCAAATCGGTTGAAAATTGAAAACATTTGCTGTTCACTTAAATTCCGTTGAAAAAAGGTATTAACAATTATATTACTATAATACTGAAAATTAGAATGAAATCGAAAAAAACATGAAATTCGACCTGTTCACATTCGGAAAACGAATGTGTTTGAAGGATATGTTAAAATATGGGCTTAAATTCAATTGGAGCATCAAAGCGGTAAAATTGCTGGAATCCATCTAATTGACATCGATTCTAATTATGAAAATGAGCAGATTTTAATTAAATGCAGCGCTCCACCAAAAAAAAAAAACTGCCACACACAAATATTTTGCAAACCATGCAAAAGCCCACAAAAAGCGCTGGCAAATGTAAATCGTCCCGCAAATGGTTTAAATCAATTTCAATGGCTACACAAAACTATGTTGTATAGAACATGTACTCTGAAAAAACTGATGTAGGGTTATGTTAAACTGTTTGTGTTGACATTTATTTCACAACAAGTATTCAAAAAGTTTGTGGTGATTCTCGGTACTGAATATATTTTTGCCGCTAGAGCACCACAAATCTTTTTTAACTTTGTAGTGAAAAAAAAGTTGGAAATATACATATTTAGTACCAGAAATCACCACAATCTTTTTGAATTCTTGTTATGAAATAAATGTCAACACAAACAGTTTAACATAACCCTACATCAGTTTTTCCAGAGTAATTTATCAATTTCAACTTTAATCTCTCTATCGATTGTAATTCGAAACTGTTTCAATGTCTAACTGAATTTGTGTGAGAATATTTGAAATGTTAATTTTTAGCCTAAAATCGATGGTCAAATATTATGCAAACTCATTACATTCCATTTAGCCGATCGATTTGAATGTAATTGATAAAATAATGCAAAACAAAACTGGGCTAATGATGGGTAATATTCAAAGTGCATTGCCACTGGGATTTTTTTATATGAGAAAAGCCGGAGGTATTTAATCCGTGACCCGTAAATTAATAATTTAGTAATGAAAAGCTATAAATTCAATGGCTAAATGTAAACTTGGCACAACTACGCATTCAAAAATGTAAATTAATCGGACTGATGTGAACGTCATCTGACATTTACGTTCGTTTTTAAATAATCAATGAGAGATCAGATTACTTCCGCTGATTCGAAAAAGTTTTCTCTTGTATTTTCCGACCGAATGAATGGAATGACGGGCGACGAATGATGGCAAAATTCGATATGCGACGGTTGAAATCATGTAGCCAAATACAGAGGGAAAATTGTCAATTAATTTGGACACACACACACAGCAGTAGCATCGTCATCATTGTTGGTGTCGGTTTGGCATTATTTTTGGAAAAACAGATTTGTGTGTTATACCTGCTATTATTCGTGATTTGGTATTCTCATTTCGGTTAATCCGTGAAAATTACAAAATAATTGGATTTTGAGTCGTAAGTGTGCGTGTGCGTCTGTGTAGCGATGTCAGAGTGTAATCATTTTCATTCTGATGACCTTTGATATCTTTCGCTAATGTTTCTAGCATCACACAGCGACCTTACTCACGGCGTTGTTCTCATCCACTCTCACACCCCCATTGAAATAGAAGGATACTGAGCAAGCAGTTGTGCAGATTTACAAGTCCGAACAGATGCTCTAATATTAAAGTTAATTTTCTATTCATATCATCAGCCCAAAATAATTATCAGCGTGTCTACGAAATAGCTTGCGGCTACCGCTCCACCAAACGTCTCTCCACTCGTTTCATTTCGGTTACAATGAAACGTAGCCGTGATTTTTAATTCGCAGTAAAAAAAAGCAATTCAAATGCGTTTCGTATCTGGAATGAATTCAGATTGGTTTGAAGAAATTGGAGGCTGCTGTTAAAGTATACTTCGAGGGCAAACCAGAGAAAAACAGAGTATCGTATAAATTCTTTATAGGCCATAAGTGGATTGGCTATTAATAAAGATCCAAAGTTAAACAGAAGGGATGCAAAGACAGAAGATTTGTTTGTTGTGTTGCCTCCGGATGAAATGGGATTTTGTGATGG